CCCACCCATTCAGACTAAGTGGGAAGGTGAATGGGACTACATTCATTTATATGTGCTGCAAATATATCCATGAATGTTGTTGCTGTTGTTGTTGTTGTTACGTGCCATCAAGTCGGACCCAACTCATAGTGACCCCTCCTTGGGTTTCCGAGGCAGTATCACTACGGAAGTAGACTGCCCAACCTTCCTTCTGAGGAGTGGCTGGTGGGTTTGAACCGCCAGCCTTCTGGTTAGCAGTCAAATGAGTTAGGCACTATGCTACCAGAGCTCCATGAATGTAGTCGAGTATAAAGGAGACAAAGTTATGAAAACTTCTTAGTCATAATCAAACACCTTGAGGGAATGAGTCACTGGGCATGGAGGCTCAGGACCATACGTATTCTCAGGGAACACAAAGGTCAATTGGCATAACATAGCCCACAAAGACAATGTTCTGCATCCTACTTTGGTGAGTAGTGACTGGGATCTTAAAAGCTTGTGAGCAGGCATCCAAGGTGCAACTCTTGGTCTCTTCCTGTCTGGAGCAAAGAAGAGTGAAAAAAATCAAAGACATAAGGAAACAATTAGTCCAAAGGACTAATGGGCCATGTGAATCCCAGCCTTCATGACCCTGAGACCAGAAGAACTAGATGGTGCCTGGTTACCACTGCTGACCACTCCGAAAGGAATCACAATAAGAGGTCCCAGATAGAGTAGGGAAAAACATGGAACAAAACTCAAAATTACAAAAACTACCAAGCTTACTGATCTGATGAAGACTGGTGGCACCCCTCAGCCTATGGCCCTTAGACACCCTTCAAACTAGGAATTGAACTTAACCCCCATGACTCAACTGTCAGCCAAATGATAGACCATAAGGGTAACAGAAGTGTCGCGAGGGTATGCAGTCATTAGAACAATCAGGCATATGAGATCAAGAGGACAGCATTTGCCCAGGGATACAACTAGGAAGGCAGGAGGGAATAGGAAGGAAAGATGAGGGAAAGGGGTGGGCACAGGGAGGAAGTGAGAAAAAAGCTGTTACAGCGTGGGGATTGCAGTAAATGTCACAAAACAGAATATGTATGGGTTGTTGAATGGAAAACCAATTTGCTCTGTAAACTTTCAAACAAATCACAACTTAAAAAAAAAAAGAAGGAATATGATATGAGCTTTTGAAAAATGTTCTAGCTTTCCTTTGTCTAGTAAATTGAGGCAGATATATATATATATATATATATATATATATATATATATACATTTTAAATTGTGATGTGGGTGAAAGTTTACAGAGCAAATTGACTTTGCATACAGTGGTTCACATACACTTTGTCTCATGACATTGACTATAATTTACCCCAATGCAACAGTTCCCCTCCCACTTCCTTCCAATAGTTACCTCTTCCCTGTGTCCATCCCTTCATGCTCTCCTGCCCCCTGAGCAGATAGAGTAGGGAAAAATATGGAACAAAACTCAGGGCTTTTCATAAACAGCCCTTCTTTCTCCCATGATTATTCTCTCCAAGGAGTGTATCTCCCTCAGGTAAATGTTCAAAACTTGAGGCAGATTTGATTTGGCAACATTTCCTCTTAGCAGTTCCAGATTTCAGTGACTTTGACTGTGAACTTACCCAGTAGCACTACAGAGAAGACACTGGATCCCTGCAGCTGCCAGGGCACTGGAGATGGCTATGTGGGTGGTGTGTGAATGGATATGCAAGAGTCCTGTGGGAAAAGCATGGTGTCTGCACAGCCTGAAAAATAGCTACTTGAAGGAGTAGGGACAATTAAGGATACAGCTAGGAAGACAGGAGGGGATAGGAAGGAAAGATGAGGGGAAGGGGTGGGCACAGGGAGGAAGTGAGAAGAAAGCTGTTACAGTGTGGGGATTCATGTGGGAAATCTGGCTCAACTATTGTGTGACCTTGAGCAGTTGACCTCTGTGCTCAGTTTCTTCACTTATAGAGTCTATGGCAGTGGGGATGGGGGCACTGGATTTTGCCAGAGGCCTTTTAACCCTAACATTCTAAGTATGAGACTTCACCAAGTTCACCAATGAACTATAATTCTAGTTTCTCATAGAAGGCCCAGTGAGTTCAGTCTTTGTATAAATAGTAAATCTCAGAAACACTGTGTCTGTCCATCCAGCATAACCATAACCATCTAATTCTTTCTGAAGAACAAACAGTTCTACTCATGACTGCTGAAACACTGATGATGCCATACTGTGTGTAGGGAAAAGCTTCAGTTCCTTTACCTGGCATTTGAACTACCATGACTTGGCCCCATGTTAACTATCCAGGTCATCTCTTGACATCATCTCTCAGGTCAAGAGACCCAAGTTTCAATTCCAGCTTCAGCTCTTTGCTGGTCTGTGACTGTAGTCAGGTTACTTACCCACTCTGAGCCTCATGTAAAATGAAGATGATAAAGTACTTAGTTCATCAATTTGATATGAGGATTGAATTAAATACCATTAAAAATGAGTAAATACTCAACGTATATTAGTTCACTCTTTTTCCCTTCCCCAGCAAAACCATATACTCTTTGAAGATAGGGGTTATACACCTTTTATGTTCTCAAGGTACTTAGCCCAAAGCCTTCAACAGAGCAAATGCCCAATAAATATTTGTTTTGTGGATTGATATGTTGTCTGTCTGTTTCTGAAGTTACCTTAGATAAGCTTAAACATTGCTTCTCTTTTGCAGTTTGCCCAGATGGTGGCCATCTATAAGACACTGGGAGGAGAAAAGTTCCCACTCATTGAGCAGACATACTACCCTAACCACAAAGAGATGGTAGGTGACTGAACGGGGACTTTGATCTCTCTGCTATTTCCATTTTAGGCTTAGCCACACAGTAACAATGAGGCTTTGGTGAGAGCCTAAACATTTCAACTCCAAACACTTCATTGGGGCTGGACTATGGAGCTGCTTTGTGGGGCTAGAGTGGCTGGATTTTAGCTTATCTTCAAAATCTGGAGACAGAACAGAGAAGTTTATCAAACAGAGAGAGTAACAAACCTATAGACCAACAACCAGAAGTTCCCACTACTCTGGGTTCTAACCCTAGGTCTGCTGTGTGGACCGGTTACACTCACTCACTGTGTGTCAGCTGCCCAAGAGGAGAGTCATAATTATTCCTGACTGGAAGATCTAATATGGTACTTAAAAAATTAAATGAGTTGCTTTAAGTAATAATCTTCTGGGAAAGTGTGATGGACTCCTCACATGTAAGGTATTGTTCCTGCTATTGCTCCTCAGACCCCTCCATTCTTTCGCTTCCTCAAGATTGTGATAGGGCTCCTCAGGTTAACACTGTGCCTTCTCTGAGGCCATCCTAGGATGCCAGGGAGAGCAGAAAGGTACAAGGGTTGGTTGGTAAGGAGGCTATTGCTAATGTTTATCCTCCATGGCAACCTGGAACTCAGACTCCCTCCTTCTCCCCTGTCTTCACATCCTCTGCTCCAGGCTTGTGGTCAGGTTGTGATCTTGCTTAACCCAAGTGGAGATTTTCTGCCAGGTGTTCTAAGTGTTGTACTCTGGGACAGAGATCATGTTTTTTTCCCCTGCAACTCCATTCTCCAAAAGAGATCTCCACTTGTACCAATCCTGTGAATCCATAGCCTTCCTTTGCCATATTGCCCATGGCTCTGCTAATCAGCAAGCCACACAGAGAAGAATAGTAACAACCTGGGCCTTTAAAAGATCTGTCTCCTTCATCTTTGTCACATCTTCCTCAAGGAGAAAGTCTGAAATTTTAAGCCACTGTCCTTAATAAATCCCTGAGGCCAACATCAAGGCTTTTAATTTCAACCAAGCCTGAAAGCCCTGCAGAGGCTAAGGAGTTCTAAGAGGCCTCTGCCCAGAGATCTCAGGGTGTCTAGGACACAGTGATGAGAGGACTGAGCTAAAGGCAGGGGGGTGCTCTCTGGGATCAAAGCTGGCTTTTTCCTGATATGATACATCCACAAGACTGGCCACTTGGAAAAAAAATTATATAATAGTCTGCTCTTAGCATTCTTTTTCCCTAAAGGCCCCTATGTTATTTCTCTCCTGTCCCCCATCTGAAATTTGCCCTCAAAAGATGGCCTCATAAGATCTCTCTGGGGTGTTAAAAGTTGATGAAGGAGGATTTAACCTACAAGACAGAGGCTTTTTGGTATTAAAGAGAGGTCTGAAGTAGGAACAAAGACATTAATGATTTAGTAGAGAAGGACACTCTAAAAGAGACAGGAGAAAATGTTGTAGACATCAGTTGAGGGCATTGGAGATCACTAACCGAAAGAGTCAATATCTAATTCTGTTCCTGCTAAAGAGGTAAGATAACTGGGTTGGACCCTCTGACAGGTATGGTATAGAGGGGATTGCAGCATGGCAAAGGTGGTTAGGCCCTTCTAGCTCTCATATTGATTGGCTCTGTGCCCCCCAAATTATTTCCTCAAACAGATGAAAGTGTCTAAGAGGACCAAGATGAGTTGAGGCAGGAGAGGTAGAGGATACATAATCCCACAATCCTAGTAAGTTCTTTTTGTTCCCTCAAATCACCCTGTTTATGATACTGTTAACCACCTTTTGATGTTGTACACCATAAAACTGCACCATCTCATATGTACAATATTCATCATTTCTCTCCTATCAAATCAGTTCAGACAAAAGAAAATACGTTTTCTTGGGGAGAAAAGGGAGTAGTCCTGGCTTTGGCCAATGAACTAGAATCAAGAAGAAACTGTCAGTAAACAGTACAAGCTAGACTAATGGGGATAAGAAGGCAAGGGAGAAGGGCTGAGGACAGGGCAGAAAAGTCATGTGACCTTCCCTAGCCCTTGACAAGTTCTAAGTCGGGGTCTTGGATAAAAGCTGTAACGTGTTCCCATCCCTACCTTAACCCTGGCAAACCATCCACTTGATACTTCCCACTGTCTGACAGTGATGAGGCAAGTAATGATGGTCAGAGGTCTGCAGGGAAGAACTGGCTCAGTGGTCTTCAGAACTCTCAGGGGATGTGGTAGCCACTGGTCCCTAGGGCTGGATGATGTCCATAAACTCCTTCCTGAGGGGCAGGTGGCCCCGGTACCAGCTGCAGGTGCCATCAACATGTTTCACGCAGACATAGTGCTGGGCCTGGTACCCGTAGAGCTTCTGCTGCAATAGCCAGTCTGTCCAGAGGCACTCATTGGGGGCCGAAATGGTGCAGGGCACTGTATAGCAGGTGGTGATCTAGAGTCATGGCCACACAACATCAAAGTGAGAAGAGTACCCTCCATGTGCAAGGACTACTTTTTCCAATACTGCCTTTCAGACTCCTACACATTCTTACAGCCCCTCTCAAATGCCCCTTGCCTTATGAAGCCTTTCCTAGTTTCCAGACTTCCCCCTGATTCCTCTTTCCTTTGTGTTCTCAACGTGTAATTCTGCCTCTCTAATGACATCTCTGGAGTCAGACAGACCTAAGAGTCCTTACTCTACCACTGACATTGAGTATGTCACTTCATTTCCTAGAGCTTTAATTCCTTCACTTTAATATGGAACTCTTAAGTCCTTATAAAGACTTGTAAACTTAAATAGTTTTCAGAAAGACATCATTATAGGGCAGGCAAATAATACTCTAGATGACAGCTATATTAAGTCTGTTTTATATGATGAACTCCTTCACAGCCAAGTGGTAAGTACTTTGAGGTCATGGACAATGGACATCTTACTTTCCCATCCCAACTTAATACAGTTCCTGATCCATGGCAGATTTCAAGAAGATGTAGAGCAACTGAATGAATGTATTCATGCATAAAGGAATGCATGAAGAGTGCTGTGCAAGTTTCAAGACCCTCTCCCCACCTCCCAGAAGGCCTTGGAAATGGACAATCCCTTACTTGACAGCCACAGTTTAGATGGTAATGATGATTCAGACTTTCCTTCTGCAACAAGGACAGGTTCTCCCAGGGTTCGATGTAATTGCACAGATGGACGAAGACTTTTCCATCATTAAGGACCTGACCTTCAAGGGGAGATAGAAGATAGCCTATCATCAGGCTCACAGTTGGCCCCTGGAGCTTCAGGGACCCAGGACCTTGAAAAGCCCAGAATGCAGCCTCTCCATTGGCATTTAGGTGGCAACAGGCACATAGAGCTCAGTGAAGGGACTAGACAAATCCCTATAATCTTTATAGCAAGGAGGTTAACAGGTTATATTTGTATGCACCACAGTACAATGAGAAAAGCATGGATTTCGAAGTCAGACTCTGGTTGAGAGTCCTTTCTTTTCTATCATCTACTAACTGTGTGATCTTCAGAATGTCACAAAACCTCTCAGTTGAAGGTGAGAATAAGGTTGTTGTGAAGATTCAATGAGAGAATGTCTGTAAAGTTCCCAGCATAGTTCTGGGCCCACAGAAGATGTTCAATAAATAATGAGTCCCTTCCCCTTTCCAGCCCTTCTCAATATCTACACAGGCCAATCTTAACCCCATGAATACCTACCTTGGAAGTCTTTCCCCTTCCCCATAGGAATACTCCCCTTCTTTACTTATCAAACTCCTGCCCATCTCTCAAGGACCTTTTATAGTACTGCCTCATCCTCTAAGCCATCCATGACCACTCTAGCCAACACTTTTCTTTGAACTCACATTCATGGTACTTTCAGCGTTCTTCGCCAGCACCACAACTCATACCAGGAATGCAGAAATAAGACTGACAGGCTCTCTGCATGTGACTGCTAACCAGAAGACTGGTGGTTCAAACCCACCAGCCACTCCTTGGAGGGAAGGTTGGGCAATCTACTTCTGTAGTGATACCACCTCGGAAAGCCAAGGAGGGGTCACTATGAATCAGATCTGACTCGATGGCAGTCAGTCAAGGAGCTTAAAAACTAGTGGGGTAGACAGACAAGTAGGGAAAAATTACACTAATGTGTGATTCTAATATATGAACAAAGGAAATCACCATTATCTCTGTATATGGAAGGGGCAGAGGGCAAGGAAGTTATCAAAGAGAAGATGATGCTTAAGTTGGACCTTGAAAGAATGAGTGGGAGTTCACCTGCTAGACAGGTAGGAGGAAGTACTTCTGGTCACTCTTCTAGGCAAAGGCAGAGGAGCACAGCCCAGCAGAACACTTTCTGCAACTGCAAGAAGTTTAGTTCAGCTCTAGTGAGGGGTTGGAGAGGTCAGCAGCGCTCAGGTCACAAAAGGCTTTCTGCATCAGGTGAAGGAGCTTGTACCTTCTGAAGGGCATGGATGTCACTGATGACTTTTTGTAGACTTGTGCTTAATCATTTATTCCCATATCCACCATTGGTTAGACCTTGATCTCCTTGAGAGCATAGACCCTGTCTCCTGCTGCTCCCGGTGCACCTCAGTGCCTAGCAGAAGGCTAGACACCCAGCGGGTAGGTGCTTAGGAAAGAGGTAGAATAATTGAGCTTGAAAGTGTAGTCTGCTAGTCTTAGGAACTGGGGGCCCAATGGCATCCCTGCATCCATCTCTACCATCCAGAGGTTCCCCAGGCCAGCCTAATTTCACATCCTTAGAGTTGGGGCGCTCCTACCATTGTGGCCTCCAATGCCTACCACTTCCCAAAAGCCATGTCTGGAGTTCTCTTTGAGTTCTGTTTGAGTTCTGTTTGAGTTCTCTTTGAGTTCTCTTTGAGAACTGTGACTTGTTACTGAATCCCTACTCTCTTGCCCACGGGTTGGCTCATTTATTACTGAAGGGGTGGGTGGATAATGGGATTCCACCACCTGTTTTGTTTTTTCTCCTCTCATTATTGCTAAATCTTTTCATCCTTTAGGGTGAGTTTATATGCCACTTACACAATGGAGCCTTCCCTAGTCACTCATAACCACACAAATACCTCCTTTCCCTAATTTCCAAAATAATTTAGCATTGTTGTTAGTTGCCATCAAGTTGTCTCCGACTCATAGCAATCCTATACACAGCAGAACAACTGCCCAGTCCTGTGCCCGCTCCACTATCCTTGCCTTCACCGCAGCCACTGTGTAAAGCCATCTTGTTGAGGGCTTTCCCCTCTTTCATCGACCCTCCACCCTAGCAAGCATGACATCCTTCTCCAGGGAATGGTTCCTTCTGATAACATGACCAAAGTAGGTGAGACGAAGTCTGGCCATTTTTGCTTCCAAGGAGCATTCCAGCTGCACTTCCTCCAGGATAGATTCGTTAGATCTTTTAGCAATTCATGGTACTTTCAGCATTCTTTGCCAGCACCACAACTCAAAAAACATCAACTCTTCTTTGGTCTTCCTTATTCATTGTCCAGGTCTCAAATGCATATGAGGCAATAGAAAATACCATGGCTTGGGTCAGGGGCACCTTAATCCTCAAGGAGACATCTTGAAAGAGGTCCTTTGCAGCTTATTTGCCCAGTGCTATATGTTGTCTGATGTCCTGACTGCTTCTTCCATTGGTGTCAATTGTAGAACCAAGCAATGTGAAGGCTCTGACAACTTCAATCGTTTCTCCATTTATCTGATGCTGCTTATTGGTCCAGTAGTGAGTACTTCTGTTTTCTTTATATTGAGATGTAATCCATACTGCAGACTGTAGTCTTCAATCTTCATCAGTAAGTGCTTCAAGTCATCCTCACTGTCAGCAAGCAAAATTGTATCATCAGCGTATCATAGGTTGTTAATGATTCTTCCTCCAATCCTGATGCCATGTTCTTCTTCATATAGTCCAGCTTCTCAGATTATTTGCTTAGCTATACAGATTGAATAAGTATGGTGAAAGGATACAACCCAGACGCACTCCTTTCTTGATTTTAAACCTTGCAGTGTCCCCTCATTCTGTTCAAATGATAGCCTCCTGGTCTATGTACAGGTTCCTCATGAGTGTTCTGGAATTCCCATTCTTCTCAACATTACCCATAATTTGTTATGATCCACACAATCAAATGCTTTTGCATAATCAATGAAACACAAGTAAACATCTTTCTGGTATTCTTTGCTTTGAGCCAAGACCCATCTGACATCATCAATGATATCCCTCATTCTACATCGTCTTCTGAATCCAGCTTGCATTTCTGGAAGTTCTCTGTCAATATACTGCTGCAACTGTTTTTGAATTATCATCAGCAAGATTTTACTTGCATGTGATATTAATGATATTGTTTAATAATTTCCACATTCTGTGGGATCACCTTACTTTGGAATAAGGGTCTCTTCCAGTCAGTTGGTCAGGTAGCTGTCTTCCAAATCTCTTGGCATACCGAGCAAGGGAATTGATGCCTCCAGTATGGCATCCATTTGTTGAAACATCTCAATGGGTATTCCATCAATTCCTGGAGCCTTGTTTTTCACTAGTTCCTTCAATGCAGCTTCAACTTCAATACCACTGGTTCTTGATCATATGCTACCTCCTGAAATGGAAGAACATCGACCAATTTTTGGTACAGTGACTCTGCATTCCCTCCATCTTCTTTTGCTGTTTCCTGCATCTTTCAATATTTTGCCCATAGAATCTTTCAACATTGCAACTCAAGGCTTGAATATTTTCTTCAGTTCTTTCATCTTGAGAAATGCTGAGCATATTCTTCTCTTTTGGTTTTCTAACTCCAGGTCTTTGCATTTTGTTACAGTAATTGACTTTGTCTTTTTGAGCTGCTCTTTGAAATCCTATGTTCAGCTCTTTTGTCTCATCATTTCTTCCATTTGCTTTGGCTACTCTCTGTTCAAGGGCAAGTTTCAGAGTCTCTTCTGTCATCCATTTTGGTCTTTTCTCTGTTCCTGTCTTTTTTAAGGACCTTTTGTTTTCTTCATGGATGATGTTCTTGATGTCATCCCGCAATTCCTCTGGTTTTTGGTCATTGGTGTTCAATGCATCAAATCTATTTTTAGATGATCTCTAAATTCAGGAAGGATATCTCCAAGGTCATATTTTGGCTCTCATGGACTTGTTTTAATTGTCTTCAACTTCAAGTTGAACTTGAATATAAGCTGTTGATGGTCTGTTTCACAATCAGTTCCTAGCCTTGTTTTGACTGAAGACATTGAGCTTTTCCATCACCTCTTGCCACAGATGTAGTCAGTCTTATTCCTGTGTACTGCATCTGGTGAAGTCCATGTGGATAGCCACTGTTTGTGTTGTTGAAAAAAGGTATGTGCAATGAATAAGTCGCTGGTCTTGCAAATTCTGTCATGTGATCTCCAGCATTATTTCTGTCACCAAGGCCAAATTTTCCAACTACCAGTGATTCTTCTTTGTTTCCAATTTTTGCATTCCAGTCACCAGTGATAATTAACACATCTTGATTGTATGTTCGGTCAATTTCAGAGTGCAAAAGTTGATAAAAATCTTCAATTTCCTTATCTTTGGCTTTGGTGGTTGGTACATAAATTTGAATAATAGTAGTATTAACTGGTCTTCCTTGTAGGCGTATGGATATTATCCTATCACTGACAGCATTGTACTTCAGGACAGATCTTGAAACATCCTTTGTGATGATGGATGCCATGCCATTCCTCTTCAAATTGTCATTCCTGGCATAGTAGATCATATGGCTGTCTGATTCAGAATGGCCAAAACTGACCCATTTCAGCTCACTAATGCCTAGGATATCAATCTTTATGCGTTCCATTTCATTTTTGACAACTTCCAATTTTCTTAGATTCATACTTTGTACATTCCATGTTTTGATTATTAATGGATATTTGCAATTGTTTCTCCTCAATTTGATTCATGTCATGTCCGCAAATGGAGGTCCTGAAAGCTTCACTTTATCCATATCATTAAGGCTGGTTCTGCTCTGATGAGGCATCTCTTTTCCAGTCATATTTTGAGCACCTTCCAACCTAAGTGACTTGTCTTCGGGCACTATATCAGACTGTGTTTCCAGGCTATTCATAAAGTTGTCCAGTAATGTATCAGACAGTGTTTCTCTGCTATTCATAAGGTTTCCCCCAGCCAATTCTTTGAGAAATGGATGGCCTCTTCCTTCTTCCAAGTCTGTCTCAGTCTGTAAGCTGTGTTAAGACCTGTGCACCATGTGCAACCCTGCTGACATTTGAAACACTTGTGGCACAGCCTCCAGCATCACAGCAACATGCAGGCCACCACAGTAAGACACACTGACAGACAAGTTCATCTCCCTTAGCTGTTCAAAACCTCTCTGCCCTCTCCTTACCTGGATCCTGCTGCCATCAGCCCTGGCTTTCCCTCCTTCCTGCCTTTGGATGAGGCGTGTCTGTCTCCTTCCTCTTATCTGGACGCTGCCACTGTCAGCCCCAGCCTTCCCTCCTTCTTGCCTTTGGGTGGGGGTTGTCTGTCTTCTTCCTCTTACCTGCATCCTGGCACTGTTGGCCCCTGCTTTCCCTCCTTCCTGCATTCATTCATTTATAGAGTCATATTCTTGTGTGTTCTTTAACTGTTCTGTCTCGAGAAATTCAGTATGGGGGAGACATACCTGGGTCCATGTTCATGGCAACATAACCAAGTTAAACTAGATTCCCATTAGGGTGTGCTTTGCTGTACCCCCAGTATAGGGCCTGGCCTGTGAGTCAGCTACACAGGCTCACCATGAAATAAGAGTGTGACACGATGTGGCTGTACACAATTAATGCCATTATAAGTTACTGTACCTGATGTGGGGTGAAACTCAGATCTCACCTGTAGTGTTGTGTCCATTTCTGAGGTCTGTGCTGGTGGGGGCAGGCAGAATGGGAAGGTGTCTGAGAACCATAGCTTCCAAAGAAGAGCTCAGCTAGAAGGCAAAGCAGACCTGGACCAGGGGTGGGCATGGCTATTGTTCTCAGGTCTCCAAAGGGCCATCATGGGGAAGAGGGCAGAGTTGAACCCACAAAGGGTGACATAAGAGGGGCAGAGCTTGGCTGCAGATACCAATGTGAATTAAAAGTATTTAAAAGTGGAACCAACTGCCCTAGGCTGAGAGAGCAACATGTCCTTGAAATGTTGAAGCCGTAGCCAAGGTCATTGTAATGAGGATTCTTCTATTGAAAGGGAGGTTACCAAGGCTCTTCTCAACTCAAAGCCTGCCCTAGCAGCCAAAAACCTGCCTCTCACTAACAAACCTCCCTTCTATGCCTAAGCAAATGCCAATGGCTCAGCCTCCTCCCCAGCGGAGGCCCCTGGATCCTCCCTGACTGCCCTCCTCACTACTGGCTCTATTAAGCCCAGTGGCTGGTCTTGAACTTACCAGTCAAGAGATACTGTTTCTGGTTGCTGGCTTCTAGTTTCACACCACAGAGGGAGGAATCCAAAGGTGTATAGATGTACTGGACATCCTTGACTTTCTCAAACCCTTTAAACATCTGAAAGGCAAAGAAGTATCGGGTCAGTGACTGTACTTTATATCTTTACAGGCAAAAAGTTCTCATTTCTCAGTCTAACAAACTAAACTAAAGGCTGATTTGGGACTTGGTGCACACAGATGACCCAGATGGGTCATTTTTCTCTTAAAAACCTCAACCTTGGGTTATTCCAGTGAGAGGGGAGGTACCTCAGTGGCCCGATGCACAGGCAGCTATGGGACTAGATGGCTACTGAGGCCCCATCTAACACTGTTGCTTGGATTCCATGGGCCCTGCTCCCAAGATCTCATCTGCTTCCATTTCAGCATCAATTCCCAAGTACCACCCAGTGAGCCAGGTCACCTGACACCTACTAGCCCCACCCCTCCCAGAACGCAGACCTCAATCCCTCCACCAGCCCAAGTGGGTAATTTCTCTGTCCTGTCCTCATGTACCTTTATCTGTTTGATTTCATACCGGATCATTTTTTGGGTGTCAGCAGGGTCTGCACTGGCAGGAACTACCTTCTCACTGTTGACTTTGGCCCGGATCACTGCATAGGAAAAGATGGAAAATTCAGCAACCAGTGGAAGCGATCCATCTGGGATTGGGATGACATAAACCACTGCAGTTCTGGAGAATTTTGTTGGGGAGTTCTTGGTTTGAGTGCTATTGGATTGTGAGGAAGTGGGCTGTGTGGGAGAGAGGGAACCTAGAAACTCCTCTGCAGCAATGGCTGCTCAAAGTTCTAAACATCTCTGGCGTATCAGGGGTCTTAGAGTCTCTCAGCTCTTTCTACCTATTTGATCCTGTTCATAGTTAAGAGCTCTAATTCTCCATAGCCCTGGGCTGCAGTGGAGTGGAGATGAGAGTCCAGTAGAGGGGTAGGAGGAGCCCCCTATAGGTCAAAAGGATGTAGCCCCAGTCCTCAAACAGTGCCAGACCATAGTTGACATTATCCACTGCCCTCAAATCTGTTCCAATTCATAGCAACCTTTTAGGACATAGGAGCTCTGGTAGCATAGTGCCTAAGGCACTTGACTGCTAACCAGAAGGCTGGTTGTTCAAACCCACTGGCCACTCCTTGGAAGGAAGATGGGACAATCTGCTTCCGTAGTGATACTGCCTCGGAAACCCAAGGAGGGGTCGCTATGAGTTGGGTCCGACTCAACAGCACATAACAACAACAACAACAACTTTAGGACAGAGTAGAATTGCCCCATATGGTTTCCAAGACTGTAAATATTTATGCATGCAGACTGCCACATCTTTCTCCCTAGGAGTAGCTGGTAGGTTTGAACCAGAGATCTTTTGGTTGGCACCTGAATGCTTTAACCAGTGTACCACCAGACAGGCTTCTTGAGTTTATATTGTTGTTGTTGTTATGTGCCGTCAAGTCGGCCCCAACTCATAGCAACCCCTCCTTGGGTTTCCAAGGCAGTATCACTACAGAAGTAGATTGCCCCATCTTCCTTCCCAGGAGTGGCTGGAGGGTTTGAACCGCCAGCCTTCTGGTTAGCAGTCAAGTGCCTTAGGCACTACGCTACCAGAGTTCATGTTTATTGAGCTTTAAAAAAAAAAAAAATGTGTTCTGCACTGAGGCATCCCATCTCTTGCCATTACAGCACTAGTCAAAACTGCTTATGAAATTCCTCCTCTGTGCACGAGGCACTAGACTCATAGACCTAAGACAGGGCCCCCCTCCCACAGAACTCTCAGTTCAGTGGAGAACACACATCTATAGAATGTCAGCACAGTATACTAGGGGCATAAAGATGTTAGAGGTGTTGTGGGAGCACCAAGGAAGTACTTCCCTCTTCATCTTACTAAGCCTGTTGGTCAGAAGGGCCTCAGGTCCTCCAGCCTTGGTGGCTTAGAGCCAAGGAAGGGATTGGCCCTAGGGCTGCCCCATAAAGCCTGGGGCTAGGGGCTGGAATTAGGGAGTCTCAGAGAGGAAGGGATATCTGAGTTAAACCTTGAAGGATGAATAGGAGTTTGCCAGAGCAAAGAGCATTCCAGGCAGAGGGAAAAAAAAAAGACCAGAAGTGTTCTTTGGAGTGAGGACATGGTGGCCACTACAGTTGCAGGCCTAGACACTGAGATAGGCTGAGCTGTATAAAAAGGGTGCTTATAATGCAAGCCGCCACCCTCCCACCCCCAGCCCCCAACACACATCCAGAAGTTCAGAATAATTGGGTATCTCTGGTGACATGTTGTCCAATATTGGGAAAAGTGGAGGAGGGGCAGGGAGAACCTCCCCGTCCCCTTCACCTACCCCCCATGGAGACCCCTGACAGTCTTTATACTTTACTAGCCATCCAGGATCTGCACTTGCAAGGCTGCCCTTGCCCAGCAGGAGGCAGGTATTTGAGCTCCTCCCTTTCCATCCCTATTCTAGGTCTACTGCTCAGTCCCATCCCGCCCCTCTACTCCCTGCTGTGGAGCTCACAGGGCCCCAACTCACCAAGTGCAGAGTAGCAGATGTGCTGCTGAGGGTGTGCGGGGGCGCAGCTGCAAGCCTCGCTCAGCGCCGGGAGCTGCAGCAGGGCAAGCAGTCGCAGCAACAGCGCCCAGCCCAGCGCGGCCCGGAGGCCTCGGGGCATGACACCGCAGAGCACTGACTGCGCCTAGACCTGTGGGGTTTGTAGGACTAAACAGACGCTCCAGGGTTCCTTCAGAACTCTTCCAGCCCCTCGCCCCAGGCTTTATGGGGCAGCCCTGGGGCCAATCCCTCCCGGATGGGCTCCGCCCTCCCCTGGCTCTAAGCCACCAAGGCTGCAGGACCTGAGGCCCTCCTGACCAGCAGGCTCAGTAAGATGAAGAGAGAAGACAGGAGAGAGGCTCCTGGCCTCTATTTCTCTGCCTGAGCTGTTAAGGCACTGGTAGAGGGGATGGTGTCATGAGCAGAAATGAAGAAAGAATGACAAAGGCAAATGCATGAGGGCACAATGACCAAAGGATTGTGATTCAGGCAGAATGAACATGAGTGAGGAGAGAGAGAAAGAAAGAGTGAGGCAGGCAGAGTCAGAGAGAGGCAGACAGAATTACAACAGGCAAAAGAGACAGTGACTGAGAAGGATGGACCCCTTGCTGAGCTGCACACTGGGAATGAGACAAGCTACTCAGGGCTTCTTTCAGCTGCAGGAAGTGTTTTCAATGCTCTATTTATGAGGCTCCAAAGCAACAGCAAACAGTGATGGAATAGGACAGAGAAAGTTGGGGTGTGTGTGTGTCTTGGCTCTGTTGGCTAGGGGGTGGGGAGGGATGTCAAAGAAAGCAGCCAGTGCTTTAGAAACCCTTTCTCATCCCCAGAGCCTCAGCCTCTGCAGATGGCTGGGGGCAGCGTACTTGGTGGTGCAGTTTAGAAAGGTGGGGCAGCTTAGAAAACAGAAGAAAGGTGCTCAGGTTGCTAGGACAGGAGCCTTGCCTACTTTGATAGATAGAAAAGGGCCTATGAGATAGGATGTCTCCACACAGTGCTGGACTGGAAGGTAGGAGGCTGAGTTCTGATTCTGACTGGCACTTGGTAGGTTTGCAGTATTTACCTCTCTGGGCTTCATATTTCCTCCATAAAATTGGGTTGAACTAAATTATTTCTAAGGTTCCAGCTTCAACTGGCCTCAGCCAGGGATGCTGAAATCTTTAGGTCACGCTTAGGTCCCCGTGGGACTCTGGCTTTTCATCAGGGTCAGCATTATTTCCTTCAAAGGGCATCTTTTCATTTTGATGATGTCACGGTGTTTGCAAAGAAGGAAATTAAAAGAGAGGAGTCTGACTAAGGAAGATGAAGTCAGGTTGTTTCTTCATGCAGATCAAGAGAGCATCTCATATGTTGTTGGAAGAGCTTGAAAAGCTCCATCCAGCCCAGTTTCTTCATTTGATGGAGGTAAAGTTGGAGGCTCAATGGGGCAAAGTGACTTGCAGAAAGTTGGTGGCAGAGAGAACCAGAATACTAATCTCCTGACATCTAGTCTCATGCCCCTTCCACGCCACCATGCTACTTCTCCCATCATCATGTTGTAATAGCTAGAAATTCTGCCTTTGAAGGTTGGTTCTTCTGGGTTAAGACCTTTCCAGTTTGTATTGCTCCTCTGCTAAAACATGGATACTTTAAGATAGTAGTCTGTTAGTAATCTCTTTTAAATGATAAGCATATTGAATTCTTACATCAGTCCTTTTCCAACCCCAAAGCTCAGCAGAAATATGCCTTAGCATACTACATCATGTTTGATGAGGGGCTTGGGGAGTTGGTGAGCAGCAAAGAGAGTGTGGAAGAGATAGAGTAGGGCCAGGCTCAGGACAGAAAGCTGGACATGTGGAGAGGGGAGGAGGTCACTGAGAGCCAGGAGAGACATGCTAGAAGTGACATTAAAATTCCAAAGATTTTTTTTTTTAAATGAGGTTTTTTGAGGTATAATTTACATATGGTAGAATTCATTCCTTCAAAGATGCATTTATTGCTGTTGTTATGAAGGCTGAGAGCCAGTGCTGCCCAGGGTTTGTCTAATGCAGAGAGAACGGAAGGGATAAAATTTAAAGATATAGTTGATTACCAACAAGAAGAGCAGGGCTCTTGTAGCTCTGTCATTGATATGCTTTGTGACCTTAGGCAAGTTACTGGCACTCTGTGGGTCTCAGTGTTTCAACTTGTAAAGCAAGTGGGTTGAAATAATTTTTAAAGGCTCCTCCTAAGGGTATTCCCAGTAAAAGTATGTGTGGGATTCCCCAGAGACAGGCACACTCTGACCAATTCATTCCTTTCTCTTCTGCTTCCAGCTGACACTGCCTACATTCCCTGTGGTGGTGAAGATTGGCCATGCTCACTCGGGCATGGGCAAGGTAAGGCAGAGGGGCCTGTTGAGATCAAGAAGGTTCTGAGAGAGAGCTGAAAGGGCAACTGCACAGAGAACTCGCTGTGGGCTGCTCTTCTGCCTCTGTTACTGATGAAGTCTTTCTAAGGAAAAGATGCTTTGGCATCTTCTGAAGGCATGAGGACTGCCAGACCAGGCCTCTTTCAACAAGCAGAGTGCAGGCTTCTGGCTTAGTCTTCTTGGTCCCTGGCAGCAGTGTGGTCTCTGGGACCTGGGAAGGGAAGATAGAGAGCAGGTGCCTTGTAGGGAGTTGGGCCATGCTGATTTGTATCTAGTGTAGAAGCACCTTGATGGGTTTGGCTCAGGGCTTTTAACTTCTCAGTGTGTGTTTATCTCCCTCTCTTTCTCTATGTCTTGCTCCAACATTAGGTCAAAGTGGAAAACCACTACGATTTCCAGGACATTGCTAGTGTGGTGGCTCTCACCCAGACCTACGCCACAGCAGAGCCTTTCATTGATGCCAAGTATGACATTCGGGTTCAGAAGATAGGCAACAACTATAAGGCTTACATGTGAGTGAAGGGTGTGATCCCCGCAGATACTCTCCCTTTTCTCCTAAGCCAGAATGAAGAGGCTGAGCCCCCAGGTAATAACCAACTCTCAATTTAGCCTCATCTGGCCCATGAAGCAGATAACAGGGAGAGGCTGCCATTTAAGCCAAAGATTACTAAACTGGGTTCCTTCTCACTGGGGGAGAGGTCCATGAACTTAGATGAGAAAAGAAATTAATATTTATTTCCACGAGCTTCTAAGTGAAATTTAGCATCCTTCTCAATTATGAGCATAGACAATCGACTATAGTAGTAATAATAGTACATGGGACTTTGTCACCAATAGTGATCACAGATATTTTGAATCACATCACAGATGTTATAGATAATTTTAATTACCACTTACTCTCATCACTACTTCAGAATCATTGTAGTTATTAGGCCTACCACTGCATCTGATTATTTATGAAGAAGCATATATACTACTAATCACAAATTTGTTTAATATCTTGATAACTACTTTGAAAATCATTTAAAATAATTGGATTCCTTTGTGTTCTATGTACTTTATTTTATACATTTATACATCTTGCATGTCATATACATCTGAGAAGGGATCCATAGAGTTCACCAGGCTGTCAAAGCACAGAAAAAGTTAAGAAATTCACACAACCCTGAAATTCACATAACCCTGGTCATTAAAAGTCTAGTGGTCATGAAATAGAGGGCTTGTCCACATGATTGTTCACCGGCATGGAGAGCCAAAGGTTTCTTCCATTAACAAAAACGAAAATAAACTCACTCCAGTCGAGTCAGTTCCAACTCATAGCAACCCCTCCTTGGGTTTCTGAGGAGGTATCTCTATGGAAGTAGATTGCCCAGTCTTCTTCTGAGGAGTGGCTGGTGGGTTTGAACCTATTTAGCCTTCTGGTTAGCACTCAAAACGCCACCAGAACTCCTGTTAGAATTTACAAAAAGAAAAGATCTTAAGACTACTGGACCTTCCATAATTTACATAGGAATGCAAATAGTTTATAATTCCAGTTTTGGGAATGTCATACCCCCATACCCCATCCTTCCTCCATTCCCTGTCCCTCACACACACTTTTTTGGAATTAAGGTTGGCCTTTTCTTTACAAAGAAGGAACATTCTGTTAATCTATGAATTTGCCACTCAGGACTCCAAAGTTGAACAACCTTGACCATTCATTTCCATTTTTCTTTATTCTTTTTCCTCTTCACTTCTCTTTTCAGTATGTATACTGTTTTGGTTACCTAGTGCTGCTCTGACGAGAATATACCATAAATGGGATGGCTTTAACAAACAGGAGTTTATTCTTGGAATTTGGAGGCTTTGAGTCCAGTTTAAAGTGCTGGGCTCCAGGGGCTGGGTGAAAGCCTGTCAACCTTGGGCTTCAGCTCTGCCTCCTCCTCCCTGCCCACTGAAGCTGGAGGCTTTTCTTCACTCAGCTGCTCGCTGCTGAGGCTGACAAACCCAAGGTCAACAAGTAACAAGACACAGTCCCAATATTACCAAACTACATGGCAGGCCATTAATTCAAGTCCATTAAAAGTCCCAATATTGCAGACCATGGCAGGCTGCTGAACAACACAGCTACATGCAGGGTTCAAGCGTGCCATAAGGTGGCGACCATTCCTGCATATATATGGGAAGTAGACCACATCCCTAAAGCAGCTACTCAGCTTCTTGTGATAGGTCCCACCATGGAGCTGATTGCCAGTCTCATCATGGGGAATAACTACCACCAGCTACCCAGCCACTCAACCAGGCCCAGCCAAGTTGACACACAACCTTAATAACTACATATACCCCTGACATCCTTGGAGTAGTTAGGAGCCCCTTCCCTGCGCTCCTCAAATAATACCATTTATGACTTCTAGTTTAGCCCTTTTCACTCGTAGTTTTGTGTCACTCTCCTCCTCAGACTCTGAGCTCCTTGTGGACAAGACCAGTGGTGTCATCCCTGCAACCCACCACCTTGTATAGGAACAGGCACATAGTAGGCACCTAATAAGGAGGTTTGGTGGCATAATGCCTAGGGCATTTGACTGCTAACCAGAAGGCTGGCAGTTCAAACCCACCAACCACTCCTCAGAAGGAAGGTTGGGCAATCTACTTCTGTAGTGATACCACCTTAGAAACCCAAAGAGGGGTCGCTATGAGTCGGATCCAACTCAACGGCAATGTGTTGTTGTTAATAAGTATTCAGGGAGGAGCCCTTGTAGAGAACTGAGGTATAGAATTTTTTTAACCTGACTAGTTTCTTGATTTTGAAGTGTTTATAATTTGTAT